AAATCCATAACAATTAGTAAACTAACTTTTTTTTGAACAGGTACAGATACGTAGATGATATCTTAGTCTGTTTTACTGGTACAAATAGGCAAGTAGGCAAGTTTGTTGAATATTTCAAGTCCATTCACGCGTCAAATAAAATTCACCACTGAAATGGGGGTGAATTATTCAATAAATTATCTAGATTTGACTATTATGAAAATCAATGATAAACATGGTTTTGCAGTTTTTCGCAAACCATCCTCTCAATAGTATGCTCACATACTAATGAATATTCTACTGTCGGAAAGTAATTTTCAGAGCGAGCTGAGATTTATCAAACAAATTGCTGTCAACAACGGTTGACAGCAATTCTATAAATACTATCGAATGAATTCATTCCAAAAAACTACGAAAACAGGCCATGGATCAGGTCTACCCAACTTCAAGAAACGATGCTGTGTGTTACAAGACATTTATTGAGCAAATTTATTGACGAAAAATAGAACTTCAGTTTAAGATGCAGGGTGTCCGGAAAGTTTTCGACCTCAACATGAAGATGGCAGCACTCGTAAATAAAAGCTAGTGAATTTCGTTGTTCATCTGTTGACAGTTACTCACCAAAGTTTCAGCCATTTTGGCTGAAATTGATGTGAGTGTTTTTATGAAAATGGACAAAATCAAGTATCGAGCAGTCATTAAATATTTGTTTTTGAAAAGCAATATGGCTACGCAAATCAAACATGAGTTGAATTCTGTGTATGGGAACTCTGCAACATCATTTAGTACAGTTAAATTTTGGAAAGCTGAGTTTAAACGTGGCCGTAAAACTTGGGATACGTTTAACGTTCGGGACGTCCAAAAACTTCAACTATCGACTAAAACATCGCCAAAGTTCACCAAATGGTGCTAGACGACCGCCGAATTGAAGTGAAAGAGAGAGAGCAGAGGTTACGAACATATCAAATCAACAAGAACGTGTTTTAGGCATGAGAAAGCTGTCCGCGGGTTGGGGGCCGCGTTTGCTCAAGTTGGACCAAAAACGTGTTCGAGTGAACATTTCCAACGTTCTGTTGGCGCAGTTTAGGCGCAATAAATCCGAGTTTTGGTGCAGATGAATTACTATAGATGAAATTTGGCACACCATTATACACTCGAAACAAAAATACGGTCCAAACAGTGGACTGTAATAGGAGAACCGGCTCCAAAAAAAGCAAAAACTGTTTTTTCGGCTGGAAAAGTGATGGCGACTGTTTTTTGGAAAAGTCATGGAGTTAGTTTAATCGAATATCCTCAAAAAGGAGAAACCATTACAGGAGTATAGTACGCATCATTACCTACTTCTCTTAGCTGAAAACAGAAGTAGCAAAAACACGGCCACATTTATAGATAAAGAAAATCCTGTTTCACCAAGACAACGCACCGTCTCACACACCAGCGGTTGCCATGACGAAAATTCATGAAGTACGGCTTGAACTGCTTGACCATCCACCTTTCTCACCATTTCTAGACCCAAGCGACCTCTTTTTGATCCCGCATCTAAAAATTGCGCTTGGAGAACGGAGATTTTCGTCAAATGGAGAGGAAATCATCTTCGAGAATAATTATTTTGTAAAGAAAACCGCCGTGTACTATTTGGACGGGTTACAGAGATGTTTGCATCGCTGGGAGAAGTATGTAGTTACAAGGAGTTTATGTTGAAAAATAAAATAAACTGAAAAATATCTGGTATCTTTGATACGTCGGAAAATTTTCACTGTTAGATCAGGAGTATATGAGTTGACTTATAGTTCTTGCTCAAAACTCTATATTGGCCAAACAGGGAAATTTTTTCCCCAAAGAATCAAAGAGATTAGAGAATAGAGAATGGAAGATTTCGCATAGTTGAGTTTTTTGGTTTGTATGTTTTTTTAAGTACAAAAATAAGCACTACAGGAAAATCCTTGAGGCGCTCTTAAAGCGATGCATGTGCAAAAGTTGTGATTCATATTGGATTTGAATCGCTGGAGAAAAATCCATTTGGAAAAAACTCAAGAAGTTTATTCCACATAAACGACGTTCTCCAAATTAACAACAATGAAGTTCGAGGTGTACTGAGTTGAACCTCATAACGATGAGCAGTCACAGTTCGTCGCATATTTCTGATATGTTCCGCTCTTGGTGGAATCAAATGTGCCAAGTCACTTGAACATTTCCCGTGAAAGTATCTATAGAAGAGAGATAAATCTCCAACCTTTCTTCGATGTTCCAGACTATCAAGGTTGCAAGTGATGTTCTCGTCTCCAATCAGGCGGTTGGCTCTTTTCTGGTTGGAATCCAGCAGCTTCAGGGTATTTTTGGGGGCGGAGCTCCAAACATGAGAACAATACTCCAAAGAAGGTCTGATCTGAGCTTTATAAAGCAACAAAAGTTGCTGAGGTGTGTACAGTTTTCTGGTTTGGAACAGTGTTCAAAACTTTTGAGAAGCAGCCTTTGCAATTCCAGTGACATGACTGAGCCAAGACATATTGGTGTCTATTTTAACTCCCAACAAACTTATCGAAGCAAAAAGCGGAATTGTAAGACCTGACATTATTATATCCGGTTCGGAGACATTTATCTTTTTGGAAAAAACCGATGCCTGGGTTTTTGTGGCAATTCGAAATTACTTCTAGATCTTCATTGAGATATTCAACCTCCTGCTGCCGATGTGCTTCCGCACATGTGCTCTAAATGTAATGACGAGATGAATGTGCTGTTGTCAGCAAAGCAATATATTGGATTCTTGGTTTTTTCCAATAAGTCGTTGATATACAATAAAAAGAGGGTTGGAGACAATATGGATCCCTGGGGAACACCAGCGTTAATGGTGAAAGTATTCAAGAGATATCCATCGACAGCCACTTGCAGGGAACGTTGTTTCAGGAAGCTGGAGAGCCATGCACAAAAATGATCCAACAAGCCATATTATCGAAGTTTGGCCAGCAAACCCTCATGCCACACGGTCAAAGGCCTTAGCAATATCAAGCGCAACAGCTCTTGACTCTCCATGTTTCTCGATTGCGTTATTCCAAATATGGGTGATATATGATAGAAGCTACGAAATTCTCGCAACCAGCTCATGAACAGTACTGGGTGTAATTGATAAAAAGGCGTTCACATTTTTTAGGAATTATCAAAACTGTACCTGAACATTCAATTTTTTGTTATAAGTGTCAACATGGGCAAGCTTCTAGGAAGATTTTTCAAATTTTAACGAATTTACTTATTCCTTAATTTACAAAGGTCTCATACATACATTCCAATTTTTCAAACTAATCATAGCGTGTAATGATGTTTTGTGTTCATTATGAAAAGTAATACTTCATACTAGTAATCTTGTGCAACAATAAAATTTACCAACTCGACAAAATTCTTGACTTCTATGCTTTATCGCGATGCTTCAGAATATCAGTACGTGATTCCTTTACTATGAAGTGTGAAGTCAGGGCCGTAGCGAAAAGAAAAACCAGGGGGGAGGGAATTCAAATTTCCCCAAATTTTCCACCATGTATAGGGATATTCAATACAAGTGAAAGAAAACGACACCTAAATAATATTGTTTCCAAGTCGAAAAAACAGCGAAAAGTTGGGAATTTTGTAAAACTGTCACATCAAAATTTGTGGACTGTTCTCTTACTTGGGAGAAATTAAACTTTTTTGAAGTTTTCAAACAACTCAGAATTTCAAAGTATGGAATATCCAAGATATGCATGTTGGGAAATCCCAACCTTCTCCTGGTTCTTTCCCTTTCCTCATTACCTCTCCCTTTCTTTTCTATCATTTTCATTTTTAAAATTTTTATTCATTTTTTTACTATTATTTCTTTCTATCTTTACGGCCCAGAATTTCCCAACTTTTTCCCAAGTCGAAAAAGCAGGGGGCCATAGCGATGGCCCTGGGTGTAGTGGTATTAAACAAGTGTCTTGGAAACTACTTGGAGTTTTTTTCATGAGTTCAGGCAGTAACTTTTTCTAGTTCCCCATTATTAAACTTACGACGATTCTCCATTGATCTTGAGTAATTTATTGGTTTTAAAAAACTATGAAACTCCACAGCCATTGACTCATTCCCAAAACATTTTTTCCAAAGAATAAAAACTACTGCAATCACCTGATTTGCTCACGTTACTTCCCGATACAGATTCCTTAGACATGTGACCAAAAATCAAAGTCACGGTTCATACTGCGCCATACCACTTGATAGGGATCAGCATTGTTGTTGTGTACAAAAAACGTCATATTCATCTAAATATAGACAAAAAGCAAGTGTTGATACATTTATTCTCATAGGCTGAATACACTGCAATTTTAGCACTGTTTCTCTGAACTGAAGCGATGATGTTGTTCGATTTAGTTTTATACAACAACATATATTATTTGACAAAATATTGTGTGAGTACATTTTTATGAAATGAATGTTGAATGCTGTTTTTCGTTTTCAATAATAACTTCATGAATTATTTGTAAAACGAGATTGTTTTATTTAAAATGAATGTAATTGTAAATAACATGTCTATGGGGTAGACAAAGAACAAATTAATGACTTGAAATATTATTAATAAGTTTTTAGTTATTGGAAATAACAACTAATATTCATCAGAATTTGGGGAATGTGGAATTTATTCAATTGGTTTGTTGACTATCGACAGACGTGTTTATCTTCATTCTGATGATTGAGAAACAATGTTCAGAAATTATCAAATCCAGGAAAGTCAGACATTTTTAATTAAAATCCCATATGAAGCAACTATCGGCACCAGTTGAGAACCAAGCTTTCAAACAGTTAATGACAGGGGCTAAACGCAGGTGTTCAAAATGAAGGTTTCTATAGATAACTAGGTTTCATTAGTTCCCATTCTTGTAGAACTCCAAATTAATTTGTATGTTTGTTAGAGCTACGGAAAAATATATGTAGCTTTCTCTCGAGATAGTGTTCTTCACGTAAATTCTCTTAAAATCGATAATAATTTTCAAAATACCTATGGTTTTCTTTATTTTCAGATGCCAACGGAATGCATTACCAACCCTCTGCAGAGGGAATTGGCCGATTCGATTATAAGGATGGTTCCTCTAGACGAAATAAGAATTCTCCTGGCATGTGGAGCTAAGGTAAGAAAGGTCTCATTTCTAGTTTCTCTAGGTTAGTATTCTTTAAAAAATTTTAGCGTGAACTGGTTTCATTTTGGTATGGTTTGCTGCAGCAAACAGTTCAATATTTCATTGTGGCTTACATTTCAAAGAATTTTTATTTGACAGCGCCTAGAGATTAAACAAATACTAACAATCTTCTGCATCTTCATTCTAGAAACAGTATGTCTAATTCAAATAAGAAAACTTCAACATTAACTAAAAATTCTATAATATTTGAGAGTCGGAAGATATTCAATCATCTACTCGCGAAAGCATATTATAGCTTGAAAGAATTTCTTGAAGACAGATTTTGACTACCAGAACCTTTGAGGTTAAATGGACTGATTTACTTTATTTATACATGTAAATGAATTCTTAACTGCTTTGTAGAATCTTATATCCTACCTACATGTAAGTGTTAGGCCCTGTATTGTTCCATTTTTACCTCAATTAATTCAAGATCAAGATCTTCAGATGATGTGGTGCTGCAGGTTTTTCCGGGTTTTCCTGCAGCTAAAAAAGCAAATGCGCCACTGGAATCAATGAAGTCGCCCTGGAGCGCCAATTAATTTTTATTGTTGTTTTTATTTTTATCGTTGTTTTTTCTTAAATAAAATGTTATTATTCACTGATGTGAATTGACTGATTCATTTCATTTATTTATGCTTTGTCAATAAGAATTTGTTTTCTTTGACAATAAAGTACATTTTGAATTGAATTGGATTGAAAAACCTAACGACTTGAAAGATCCTTGATGGAGTATAAAGAATGGAGAAATATCGTTGAAGAAAATGATATTATTTTGAACTTGGAAAAGACATCTTTGTAACATATGAATGTGTAATTCTGAAAATGGGAAATTAGTCGAAATAGATATTCACACCTAGGGATTTGAGTACGAGTGGGATGAAAGTATAGGAATACGAACAAGTTATATTGTCGATCATCAAGTCTTTGTTTGAAGGTGATTGACAATGTTTCATAATGAATTTCATTAGTTCGGACTTTCCTTGTCTAATATTATATAAAATAATTCGAAATCCCTGAAAGAACCAATAAAAATAACAATTATGTTAAGCAAAAAAACCTGAAACGACCCTTAAATAGTCATCTCTCGGAGGAATTAGTCCAGTCATCACCCGAAGATGATTGTGGATACTAACAATCGAAAGGTCGTGAAGTAACTTGGATTGGAATCTCCTAATTTTTTATTTTTAGTTCAATTGTTTTATTTTTACTTGTATTTTATTTCACTGTTATTTCATTTCAGGGTTTTTTTGCTATTATTTTTAATTTTTCTTTATTATTGATTTTTTCAGGGATTTTAAATCATTTTATACAATATTAGACAATGGAAGTCCGAACTAATGGAATTCACCAGGTTTTTGATGAAGTTCCATAGTTTTATACTTATAGGAATTTCGAACACTATAAAAAAATATGATATTACTGATGGTAATCCGCATAACATACGACTAAATTAACAAATTTTCAAGAACTAGATAGCACATTGCTTACTTCATTTAAGCCCAAATCCAGTAAAAATAATTTACTTATTCGTTTCTAACCCTAGATATTCAATGATATTTTATGAAGAAAACCAAAATGTCAGGAGGGGGATTCGACAAAATGTAGAAAATATGAACTCTTTTAAATATTAACAAACGAGTGTGATACCAAAACATAACATACTGCTATATCCGTCAAATAGTAAGCTATGTATTTATATGAAACAGCAAATGATAGTTAAGTTGAAGTCATCAACATACATCTACTTTAGGTAAAAAAAGAACTTCGATATTCAGAATATAGAGCTGATAAAAGGTACTGAATTTTAAGAACCCTCGTTTTATCTAAAAAAATGACTTTTGTTCCAATAAGAGAAAATCTCCCAATAGAATCTTACTTGAATATGAAAATTTGACATCAACCTAGAGTGTAATTTAGGACGAAGTGTAAACTGTAGTTAATGATTTATTTCTAGGTTAACGAACCTGTTACTCAAGGACTAATGCCACTGCACTATGCAGTTTGGCAAAGGTACTACGAGGCAACTCAGCTGTTATTGACAAGAGGTGGTGATGTTAATGCAACAGACGAATGTGGTTACAGTCCTCTTCATTTATCTGCTGAGCATGGGTGAGTGTTTTTGGAAATAAGTGGAATATTTTTAGCTAGAAAAATATTTTATACATGTGGATGGCGGAAAAACATTGGGAACCAAGGTTCATATTTTCGGTCGGAATATTTGTTCTGTTTAATGATTGATTTGGTGGGACAGTAGTTGAGTTAGCGCAAGTGGTACTCTATACTATTGTGTAGTTTTATTATTGTGCTAGTAACCATGAATGTCTTTCGTGGATTGGTTTTAACGGAGCTTACCGTTGCTCCAGGGGGGGCTAAACCCACCCTAGACTCCCCTAGTTTCGCCAATGCTCAATAGTCGAACTATTTCCGTTTATATTTCATTGTGACTGAAACTGTATTCAAAATATATCCATCTTTTGTTTCCGCAGATACACAGAAGTAGTTCGCCTTCTACTAGCATCCGGAGCTAAAGTTGATTACAGACCCAATACGGATGAAGACTTTCCTCGGACTACTCAATGTGACGAACCCCTCAGATTGGCTATCCGTAACAAACATATGGATATCGCCAAAATGCTGCTCGAACACGGGGCCGACCCGAATAAAAGGTACTTCTTTGGGGCCGAAATTAATCTAGTGACGGATCTGGAATTTCTGGAACTGCTGTTGACGTTTGGGGCCCATCCTGATAGTAGGGATAGATCCGGACTGACTCCATTGATGAAGGCTGTTAGGCAACCGCAGGTATGTTCTGTTGAATGTTAGATTAGCTTGTTCGCATTTTAAAACTATTTGACGTAGTAGTATAAGGAGGAATGGTATTATTACTATCAATAAATCAATTATTTTTGCCCTGATGATAAAAAATGAACAAAGATGAAACACTTTTGTAAACCACAACAACAAATCATCAACTGATGAAATGAGTCGGAAAAATATACAGTTCCATAGGATTTTGGTGGTCTGAAAAATCGGTTTTACGTGCGACTATAGATGTTTCACATAAAAAAATTGTTACTAATAATGAAACTGCTGATAATATTGCAAAGGTAGCAGATGAAATGGATAAACAGCGATGTGTTGCTGAGTCAGAGGATATTTGAGAACATCCAAAACATCCCTGACAAAATTAACTCACCAAAAAACCTCTTTAGAAAAGCACGAGTCGCCTCCTCGTTGGACATTCCCATTTTATTCACTTCTATCTTTTAATACGGGAAACAGACCAAAATGTAGTGCATGTTATGAAATACTAAAGATACCAGCTAGAATTGAATAATCCTCACCTCCTTGAACATAACACAAATTGTATTTACCGCGTTCTGGAATATAAAAAAATCAATCAGTTTATAGCAAGCGCCAAACATCGCTCAGGTATAGACTCTCCTAACTAAAATACTATTGGATTTCACTAGTTCGGACTTCCATTGTCTACTATATAAAATGATTTGAAATCCCTGAAAATTTGGGTATACATAGTCAACATTTCTAGTGTTATATACATTTTGTGGTAGACTATTTTCAAAAAGATGTTTGTTTCTAAAAAGGAATAATAAGAGTTTCTGTATATAGACTCCTATAAATGTAAGTATTTTAATACTACTGAATTTGCCTCTAAATGATTCTCTTGAGTTTAGGTTCAGCATAGTTTTTAAGGCTGTCTTCTGTAAAATTAAAATTTGCTCTGCATTTCTAGTACCTCCATAAAAAATAATTCCATACCTACAAACAGATTCAAAATTTTAATGATAGACCATTCGGTTTACATTTGTGTCAACATACTGACCAATACCTCTCATTGAATACAACACTGAGTTCAACTTTTGACAAACATTTTGAATATGACTGTTGAAAGATAAGTAATGATACGCCACTGTATAGAGCATTTGTATGTCTTGCAAGAGCTCTAGTGGAGGTTACATTGAAAATGAGTTTGTGCGCATTGGGGCGGGCTCGCCGTCACGTTTGGCGCTTACTGTATGTGTTAGTTATTATATGACTGACTACGAAGCAGTGGTTAAAGGATTTAGGTAGTGGATGCAGCAAAAAAAGTTTGATGGATATTAATTGATCTTTTTTTGTGAAATGTAAATACTTACAAACAAACACATAAACTGGTACAAAGACAAATTGAAAGAGAATCAAAATATAATTGCAATATTAAATTCAAGTTTTTTTTTTATATTTGATTTCTGTAATTTCTGTGTCTGGATCAAAGTCTTCTTTCGTTGACAATCTAGATCTACCTATATAAATGTGTTATACATCTATACTTTTAAAATATATGTTTCGTGGAATTTTTTATGATGGTTACTGTTATTCTATTTTCATATTTATTTACAGGGAATGGAAGCTGTGCTACTTTTATTGAAATATGGCGCAGATGTTAATGCAATCGCCGACGAGAGACATGATTACAGAACGGTGAGTTAATAGACTACCAAAGTATCTTCAAATATTGACATGTTTGGAGTCAAATAAACAAAGCTCTTTAGTAAATCCTACTGCATCATTATAGTTCATTGAAAATACACATTAAAGGTTGCGTTTTTCAGAGGACGTGTAGGGAGGGTCACAAAACCCTTGTCCTCCTGCCGACATCTTGAAAAAAGGGATAACTGGTTATTTCTTTTGTGGCGATTGAGATACCAGCCAGTTCTGTTTGTACCACGCTGGTATTTTTTCCCATTTCCCACTTTGGCTTAGTGATCTGGAGTACACTCCACATCCTGAGGCCTAAACAATTTTACATTCCAATGGACTGCATGTAATATGAATATTTTAAACGTTGGTCTCCAATTTCACATTTGAGACAATATTTTACAGGTTCTGCACTACGCTGTTTTATCCGGAAAATACGAAATAGTGAATCTGATGATAAAACAAGGAGCAAAACTGAATTACGATGAAGAATATGACATTGGAAAACCCAGTCCTTTGGATTTGGCCATACTCAAAGGAGATCCGCAAATAGTTGACCTGCTTATTCGATCTGGTGAGTTAATGATTTCAAATTTTAGATTTATTGAATAGTTATCTTCAAAAATCATATTTCTCTCGTCACAAGAGAGAATAATTATCACACTTTGGAGTATAAAGGACCTTTGTTTGGACTTGAGAACGGTACATGATAGTAGACTACTAGATGCATTCCAATATCTGGCAAAGTGTGAAAATTATGATCAGTACAACCGAAACAAGTTAGAATTTAGGAATTACATTTGACCTTTTTCTATTTTATACTTGTTGGTGTTGGTATAATGAAATTATGTACACCTTAAAGCTTGAAGAAATTAGTAAATCATTGAAACATATATTTTCTTGAAAATAAAGAATAGTTCTGCAACTTAAATCTTTTTTTCTCTTATCTTTTCAGGTGCCAATGTTAATTGCAGTTCACCCATAATAGGATCACCTTTACACGTAGCATGTGCGGATAATATACCCAGTAGATTTGATATAATCACGGTATGTTGTTATTTCAATTTTCAGTGATCATTTGTGAATAGAGGTGCCATATGTTCAGGAATTTCTGGATTAACCCCTCACTTTGAAACACAAAATAGATACAAAACTGGATAGCCTATTATCAACCGATGAAGTAAACTTGAATGCTACTAAAAAATTTAAGGAATAGTAGAACATACCTTTACCAGTCATGTACATTTGCTTCTGAAAACTTCGGTTTTAGTTCTAAAATAACTCTCCCCGAAAAACTTTTATCTGAAAATATATGTGGTGTGAATAAATGACCAGATAGAAATTTTTGATGGTTTTTATTTGAGTTTTGTATCAAAGTATTTTTTCTTTCGTCTAATTCAATGTTTATGAGAGATAGTTGTTACGAAAGGGGATTTTTTCCAGTTTGTGCCTCAAAGTTACTTCTTTGTATTATTTACACACTTTTGTGAAGAGTTTATTTGTGAAATAATGACTTTCTTTCTTTCTTTGGAAGATTCCCAACTGGTTAAAACTGACCAAACATCCGGATTACTAAAAGTTAGTTGGGGAACTACCTCAAGGATCAGTTTGAGGTCCATATCTATTTCTTCTGTACATAAATGATATTACCCTCCTATATATCTGGTTCCTTCACTTTATTTGCCGATGACCCTATCATCCTATGGCACTCTGAAAATGTGAATTTGCTTCGAAAAAATGTTACGAGAGACCTACAAAAAATCAGGTCGTGGTGCGATGCACATTTTTTATGTTCAAATTTCAATCAAACAAAATTTCTTACATTTAAATGTCTTCTTCCGGATACAGAATTAGGTGCTGACTCTAGATCATCTGACAACAATATAGATACCAATTTGAAATTCACAAATCATATTAACATGCTAAACAGAAAAATTATCATCCGGATGTTTTGCCCTTAGGAATACAGCTAAAAAGTTAGGTTATGCTGCAGCAAAACATTGAGTCAAACTTGAGGTACGCAATCCAGTTCTGGGGTTCGTGTAATAATGAACTAATTGAGAGTGTATTTTTGCTGCAAAAGCGAGCGGTGCGGTATTTGTGCCAAGTGAATAGGTTGAGTTCCTGCAAACCTCTTTTCCTGAAACACGGAATACTGACACTAACCTCATCAACGTTTTAGAAGCTATATGTCTCATTTGCAAGAATACATCTTTATATGAAAATAACAATGACAATGCACGGAATGCAAAGTTGTTGTTTCGAAAGTAGTTTTTCTTACGTGTGATTCCAGTTTTTTACTTATTTGCAAGATCTACACATCTTTGTAAAGAGTTTATTTCAAATTCAATTGTTTTCTTCCTTTTCTTGGAAGATTCCCACATTTTCTGTAGTGGAAAGCTAAAACCTCTCTTTCCCAAAAATAATCTCTTTTAAAAATATCCCCCTTTAAATTACGATATATTAAATATGGAGTACTATGCTACTATTGCATACATTTACTATTTCATGAACAAGCCGGTGTTTTTTTTGGCATCCTGAGTGAAATTACTCATTTCTGGGCCTGTATAGTTGTATACACTTACGTTTAGTTCAGAAAAAATGCCTATCCACTTTTCAATCCCACCAAGCTGTAGATAAGAAATCTTCATTATTCCTTCACCACATACCTATTTCATGTCAAACGTAATATGTCCAGAATTGAACACTACCATGACCTATGTCATTCTAACTAATAAGAACTGCCTGAAATCGGAACATGGAACATGGGCGGAACATAAAATACCCTCTCGCTAATTATTATATTATGGATGAGAAAAACCCGCTAATGCTATGGTGACAGTACGTAAAGACGATTATTTGATTCAAACCCAGCCATGTATCATATTTCATGAGTGAGTAGTTGTTTCGGGAGGGATTTCTCTTCCAGTTTGTGTCTGAAACTTCTATACATTCTGCATATCTTTGCAAAAAGTGTATTTTGAAGTTAATTGCTTTCTTCCTTCTTTTGGAAGTTTCTCACAATTCATTGTATAAAGTTGGTGAAGTGAAAGCCAAAAAGCTCTCTCCTAAAAATACATTTCTTTCAATTTGAAGAACTTGTATCACTATGAATATATTTGGGACTAAATCATATCTAACTTCGTTTATTATGATTCTTAGAAGGCAAACGTATAATGTGTGTATAGACTGATTTTTTTTGCTATTAGTTTTCGTTTCATATGTTCTTGAATTAATAACCGATTCACTACAAGATTGTCACTCTAGAAAAGCCGCGACATGTGTTTTGCTATACAAATATGGAGTTAAATAAAATATCGGCTAGTTCTATCCAACTGTTCTTGAATTATTCATTTATTTTATTCCAGATGCTCCTCAAAGCCGGTGCAGATCCAAACTTGAAGGTTTATAGTGACGAATTCGATAGAAATTCTCAATTAAGGCCTGTGTTGGTGGAATATTTAGCCAGCAATGAGAATCCCAGCATAGCTGTAGTTCATTTGTTACTTCAGTATGGAGCAAAGGTAAAAAAACGGGACATAACTGATGAGCTTGAAAGTTCGTTGGCTAACACACATATGACGCTAGTAGCATTAAATCCATATGATTTTTAGTTAACCTTAACCTTCAAAAGACACGTGTACACATTTCACAGCTGTCGGACTATTAGTTTGTGGGATAGAACAATTTGAGTGAAACAACTTTTGTTATTTTGAAGAAAATTGATAAAAAGGAATTTCGTATACTAATAAAGCATTATTTTTTGGTTGAAAAAATACTGTTAAAGCCAAGGTTGTCCTTGATAAACAATACTCGGACTTCGCACCAGGAAACTAATCCGTTGAGAATTGGTTTGCTAAGTTTAAACAAGGTGAAATAGGCACCCAGGATGATGCACGCAGTGGACACCCCAAAGAGGCTGTTGTTTCTTTAAATTAATTTTGTTCACGTAGTTGAAATAATTGATCATGATTTGATAATAAAAAAAGACGATTCTGACATCGACAATAATTTTGAAAAGTTATAACATAGGTTGCCTTTTATGTTTCCGGATTTGGAAACCCTAGTGTTGCAATTTGGCAACTGACAGCTCTATCGCAAAGTTGGACAATTTTGAGCTTATACGTACTCAGAACATTTTGACATACGCGCGTTATTTGTGTTGTTTACAGTAACTTAAAAGATTCATCTCGGTCCAAAAATGGAATTAAATAGTGAACATTTTCGTGCATTATTTTTTACAATTTTCGACGTGGATTAACTCAGAAACAGTGCTTGGATGAACTTAATTCAATTTTTGGCGATGAAGCCCCACAAGGATCAATGTTTATCGATGGTATGGTGAATTCAATCGTGGTCGTAGTTCAGTCCAAGACGAATTTCGTGAAGGTCGTCCAAAATCAGTTGTTGTTCCGAAAACCATTGATGCTGTGCGCGAACTGATATTGCAAGATCGTCATGTGACCTATCGTGAGATTGAGACAACCTTAGACAATAGTGGGACCAGCATACAATCAATATTGCATAAACATTTGACTGACAAAAAAAATTGTTCGCGTTGGATCCCACACAATTTGTCAATCGCTCAAAAAAAGGCTCGTGTCGATAGGTCGAAGGAAATGCTTAAAAAATAGATCGCGGTGCTTCGAAACACTTCTATGACATCGTGACAGGTGATGAATCGTGGATTTACACGCATGATCCCGAAAGTAAACAGCAGTCGACTGTATGGGTGTTTCAAGATGAACCAAATCCAACAAAAGTTGTTCGCGCACGAAACACTTCCAAGCAAATGGTCGCCTGTTTTTTCGGAAAAACTGGACATGTCGCAACCGTACCACTAGAACAACGTAGAACAGTCAATTCTGAGTGGTACACAACCATTTGTTTGCCAGTTGTCTTCCAAGAAATCAGGAAAACCAACCGCCGAAGACGGATCACTATTCACAACGACAATGCGAGTTCTCACACATCGGCTCAAACAACTGCATTTTTGAGCATCCAAAACATCGAGTTGATGAGTCATCCGCCGTATAGTCCAGACTTGGCACCGAATAACCTCTTTTTATTCCCCCACGTAAAAAACAAACAGAGAGGTCAACGTTTTTCGACACCTGAAGAAGCGGTTGCTGCATTCAGAATGCATGTTTTGGAAATACCTCAATCCGAGTGGCAAAAGTGCTTCGACAAATGGTTCAAACGCATGCAAAAGTGTATAGATCTTCATGTGGAATATTTTGAAAAACAATAAAGTGATTTTCGATTATTCATATTTGTTTTTGTTCTCTAATCCCGAAATATAAGATATTCACTGGAAACGTTTGATTCCTGGTTTATTTCAACTTTGAATCCAAAAAATTCACAGCAGGACTGATTAGACGGAACATTGTTGAGTCACTCTGCTACCAGTGGCTTAACAATATTACAAAAAATGAAGGTATCTTCAATGTAAGAGAACTCAAAAACATACAAAATGAATGAAGTTCGAACTGTGAGAAGACTCTCACTTCCAAGACAAACCAATGATGTCGAATACCTGAGTAGAATCTGTCCATACATCAAGAAAGGCCAACAATTTTTATGGGTCAGGAGCAATATGCTTTAACTTTTGCAGGGAAAATTTACCAAGGTTACTGGAATGCACCGTTTGTATCAAAAACTTTACCGGGATGGGTAGTACATGGCAGATACCCCTCCGGAAAAAGTTGCTGTTGAATCGTCTTCAGTATTTCACGTTTGTCGTAAGTCTCAAGAACAAATTGATGAAGATATTCACAATTCAGTGAGGGACTCTTTCAAAATTGACAGTTTTGGGATAAGGAGTCCAGAAGAAATTGAAGATCTGAGGAATATGATAGAGCATTAAAAATAATGGAAAATATCATTAAACAAGTTGAAAATCACCTTGAAATAGGTCTCCTGTGGAAGAATGATGATGTAACACTACCTATAGTAAAGTAGTGGCACTTAATCCTCTGAAATGTATGGAGGGAAAAATTGACAGGAATATAGGTTTTGCGAAAGATTATGGCGAGAAAATTGAAGAATATTTGAAGAAGGTTACATTCGGCAGCTTGATATTACTGACGCAGAGAAAGGTGGTCCTAGAACCTGGTATTTACCCCACTTTGGGGTAACTAATCCCTATAAACAGGGTAAATTGAGACTGATCTTCGATGCAGCGGCAAAATCGAATGGGGTAAATCTTAACGATCGTCTTCTGCAAGGTCCAGACTTAATACAAAATCTGACATCAATTTTGTGGAAATTTCAACAGAAACGAATCGCATTTTGCTCAGATATTCGATACATGTTCCACCAAGTTTTCAGCCCAGCACTTTTTCTGGCGAGGAATGGATAGGTCCAGAAAACCTGATATTTATGAAATAAAGGCAATAACATTTGGAACAACAGAGGCTATTACCGACGAAAACATCAAAAAAGTACACAAAATGATTTTGGATGACCATAAATTGAAGTTGATCGAGATAGTTGAGGCCCTAAAGATATCAAAGGAACGTGATGTACATATCGTGCGTGAATATTTGTGAATGCGAAAGCTCGGTTCAAAATAGGTGCAGCGCGAGCTCACAATCGACTAAAAATAACGAATTGATGATTCTGAGCAGTGTTTGAAGCTGTTCCGCCATAAAAAAACCCGAATTTAGGCATCGATATTTGACAATGGATGAAACATGCCTCCATCATTTCACACCAGAATCAGTATTTCGGGATGTGCATGTCTCATAGAGACTGGATGAGCTATAAGGAACTCCGTAATTATACCACCGGAGCAATCCGACGTGAAAAAAAGCCTATTTAGAATTTGTTTCGAGAAACGGAAATTCCAGTTTGATCAAGGGTACTCTAAGAAAACTTGAGAAATAAACACAGCCCTAACCTTCGCGCGGATTTACCAGATCTGAATCAAATAAACTCCCACTTCACAAATATTATTCATCCTGTAAAATCTGATCATCATGAAACACTCATTGAAAGATATTCAGACCTATAATGGACCTACTTTGAATTTTCGCATAGTGACGCCACTTCCGACTCAAGAATACATCAGTGGTATGAAAAGTGTTGTGAATGAGTAGTATTTGATTTGATTCATGTATTAATACCACTTTATAATGAATATGTGAGTTCTCTTTATGATCTTTTTAATTGACAGCTATTTTACAACTTGATAATAATTCCGACTAATGATATAACGGGTGTACCAAATATATAAATATATGTAATACACAACAATCTCCCACGCTTATTGAATTATTTTTTTTCAACTATGTAATCGTTGAAGCGCGATGGAAGTTCAACAGGGCGGCTTGATCTTCTCAACTTTGTTATGTTGGTTGGTGGATGAGGTATTTGATCATCAGGTACTTCAATTTGATCTGGTTCAAACACCTCATTTTGAATATTATCCGGTTAATTGACTTGTTCATCTTGCACTGGAATCGTCACCCAATCAGTTATATTAGGCTGATCTTCTACTTCTACTTCAGGTGCGAAAAAGACGGATTTACTTTTGGGCAAGTTGGTCGATCTTATCTGATCAATATGTGTCTTCAAAATATGTTCATCATCGAGTTTCACTTGATAGTGAAGAAGCCCAAATTTCTTGATAATTTCTCCTGTCTTCCATAACCGTTTATAATTTGTGTAATACCTTGTTTGAACTCTTTCTCCCACGCTGAATTGTCGTGGCTTTTTATTTGATGATACTGATTTTTCATGATGAACGGGTTTCAAAGCATCCAATTCTTTTTCAACCAATGTGCTGAGTGCGTAGGGAATTTAACGTTCACGATGGAAACATGGCTGTACACCTTCACGTAACTTGAGAACAACATTGAAACCTGGAACACATCCAATTTTCTCTTCGAAAACATTTGGATATTTTGCGCTTAGTTCGTCTACACTCCACAGGTTGAATCTTTCAATCGATAATTTTTTTACTTTTATAATCTTTTTTTATTCACCTCGTCGCCAAAACTGTTGTGAATGAGTAGTATTTGATTTGATTCATGTATTAATACTACTTTATAATGAATATGTGAGTTCTCTTTAGGATCTTTTTAATTGACAGCTATTTGACAACTTGATAATATTTTCGACTAATGATATAACGGGTGTACCAAATATATAAATATATGTAATACACAACAAAAAGTAACTGTGCTGGTTCTGACAGCATTTCTCTCATTATGTTGAACTATATTGAAAATTATCTTATCAACCACATAACACACATATTCAATTCCTCTATAGAAACAAATCATTTTCCTTCTGCATGGAAACATGGAATTGTACTCCCTTTGCCAAAATGTGAAAATCCAACTGAATTATCTTATTTGAGGGCTATTAGCAAACTGCCTATCCTATCTAAGGCGTTCGAGCGGATTCTGAAAGATCAAATTGATTCTTTTGTATACAATAATAATTTAATAACAAATGTTCAATCTGGATTTGGTACATTCTATAGCACCACCACCGCTCTTGTCAAAATTACCCAAGATTTATACAAAGCAACTGATAATAAGGGACTGTAAATCTATCGGAAAGTTATCTCAGAAATCGGACTCAGTCAGTATGTCTGGATGGAAAGTGTTCTAGTGCTTTACCTGTTGACTTTGGAGTACCTCAGGGCTCTATCATTGGCCCCATTATGTTATCTCTATATATATCTGACTTCCATAAAGTAATTGATCATTGCACAGTTCATCAGTATGCAGGTGACATTCAGTTATATTATCGATATCCGCCAAGTGACTGGCAGGTAGCAATGGAAAAAATTAACAGCGATCTACAAAAGTTACTGGATCTATCTATAGCCCATAACCTGAAATTGAATTCTAAAAAAGCTCAGCTGATACTTTTTGGTCCGAAACACAAAATGTGGGACTTACTCACAAAAGACTTACTGCAAATAATTACAGAAAGCAAAACTTGGTTTGGTAGCTAGATGCTGATCTGAGATTTCACAAACATATAAATTCACTTTGTCGTAGCTCGTACAGTATCTTAAGTCAACTCTATCAAAGTAGAGATATTATGACTTCCAAATTGAAGTTGATATTTTGCGAAACCCTCATATTGTCCAGATTAGCATATTGCGATATAATCTACGCGCCTGCTTTGATACAAATTGATGTGTATCGCTTGCAAAAAAATACAAAACAATTGCATTCGTGTGAGAAAATTCGACCATATATCCCCCAAGTTCGAGGAGTCAGGTTGGTTACCGATTGCTAAAACCTGGCAGTTCCACCTACTCGTCAATACACATAAATTCCTCATTTGCAAAAAGCCAAATTATATTTATGAAATATATAAAACTTTCAAATCTCAGAATAATTCAAGGACACGAAACCGTCACACTTTCATTATTCCAAAACACTCGACAGCCTGCTTTTCTCGTAGTTTCATTTACAACTCTATCAAACAATATAACGCTCTGCCCAGTGAATTTAGACACTACTGTTTAAAAAAAAAATATGTCTTTCCGTTAACCAGCTGTCGCACCCCCTACGAAATTTGTGCGAGTTAAGGATTAACGAGGTCTTACCTTTTAACGTGTGCTTCCTAACACGTTACCATATATATTTTCAAGAAAAAGTTGAAAACATATCTTCTGGATAGATAATATATTCATGTTATGCCTTGCTCATATGGTTTTCCTTTTGTCTCCCTTTTGTGTATGTTTTGCTATATATTTTACCTTATTTAGGCTAAATAGATTTTTAATATTTACTTTGGAATTTATAACCTTTGTTTCTTTCTTTGTTTTACAAAGATTCATAAACTACTCACTTACCATTGTATACTACGTATTTATTTTCATATTTCTATATAATACATGCTATCCCCTAGGTTAAGTTGTAAAACAGTCTCGGCTGAAGTTCGCCCTTTCATTAATTTTTGTATCTACTTTTTCTTTATAAACAATCTATGTCAATGAATAAAGCCCATTCATCATTATTATAATTATAATATTCATCGACCATTAACAGCGACTATTACATATCGTTATTGAAGAATTTGGAGGGAAAAACAGCACCATTTGAAAAAAAGAAAGTGCAGTTTCCTCAAAACAATGCACAATGTCACAAATCAATGAAAACAATGGCAAAATTGCATGAATTGGGTTTCGAATTGCTTCTGTATCCACCGTATTCTCCAGATCTGGTCCCAGCGAGTTTTTCCTGTTCTCAGACCTCAAGAGAATGCTCACTGGAAATAAATTTGGCGCCGATGAGCAAATCGTAGTCTAAAAATTATATAAAAAATTGTATGACAACTATATTGAATAATAAAATCAAATTTAATACAATTTTTTTCTATATTATCCTACGAACTATTCCAGCCCAACTGTTCGTTTGATTAATAATTTTGTTTTCCTCAGCCTGGTTGATTTTGATATTGTTTCAGGTTGTAATGAAAACTCAGTTCAGGGATCCAGACGGCATGCTCAATTCTCTACAAAATGTGATATCTGGAAACTGCGACGCCATTTTCTTTCTCTTGACGGAGGCTTGCGAATCCTTCGATCCATGCATGATAAGAAGAAATAACGTGCTATCCCCGGAACAAAAAACAACTCTTTTAGAACTTGCTAAGTATCCCCTGTCGCTGAAAAGGCAGGTTAGATTATTTCTGAGGGCGTTATTACGGACTAAACTGATGGAAGCTGTTGAAGATTTTGATATGCCAAAGTGTTTGGAAAAATATCTGCTGTTCGACTATAGTTGAATTGAAAAGCTCATCGATTCTTCTGGTGATATTTCTGAAATAACTGGCCACTATTTTCACATTTTCTCAGTTGAGTTGTCCTGTCACAAAGTTTGAATTAATACCAACATTTAACCATACAATATATACTCGTATACTAACCTACATTAACATATTTTGCGATTTTATCACTAACATAATCCTTATAATCTATTACTCGTAGCAGGAGTGAGACCGACGAAGAAATATATCCTAACAATGGAACGCTTTTACCAGAAATGTACGTACGAGGGTGATCCTAGAAGTTCCTGGCCAAAAAATACAAAAATTTTGGAATAAAATTTTTTTTTCAACATAATCTCCTCTCAGCTCGTCTCGGCGGCAGTTCATACGCTTCGTTCAAATCCTGCTACCCAATATATTACTGTTGTAAACCAAGGAGCAGACTCACCCAGAGTAGAATCCAGTTCAGGTTTCATATTGGTTGGGCTGAAGTTTTTTAAATAATAGTATTGTACCACATAACGATGACCAATTTTCTCCACTTTCATAAATTCACCAAAAACTTTTGCTATTGATGAAAACCAAACAAATACTAAACAACGCAGCGTCTTCAAAAGTGAAACATATGCTTTATACATTGTGTACTTTTCAATACAGTGATATTTTGCGAACTACTACCGCCATCTCTAGGCCAGGCCGGGTACTTGTGGGACCACCTCGTATGTTCTTAGTCAGTATCGTACATACTGCCCTAAACTTGAATTAATGCCGCCTTTCAAATAATCCTTTCGCTACCTAATCGAAATCATCAATGAGTAGAGGAGATGACAATTCCTTATTCACTTGACATTTTTCTTTTTTCAGTTGAAGCAATCGTGAAAATCTAAAAGCAAATTGTTTTATATTGAAAAAATATGATAGACACAACATATACTTGATGGAAATCAACTATAACGTATTAAAAAACACACTTTAACGTGAGATTTTCACTTGACAGTTTATAAATAGCATCTTCAGGTGTCAACAATACTGACGGAACAAATTATGTGCTTTGTTGACACAGAAATTGTTCTGTGTTCAGTGTTTTGTTTATAGAATTTGTTTAGTTAGTATTGTTGACGTCTGAAGATGTTATTGTATAGCGAAACACGTGTTGCGGTTTTGTAAACTTCCAAGTGAAATTCTTGTCCGTGTCACAATTTTTCGGGTACCCGGAGATGTATAAACCCCTGAAGAAGCTAGCCACTGGCGCCGGCGAAACGTCAGGAAAAAATTACCAAAATCCACGGCCTTCGAACCCGAAAAATAGTGACACTGAAAACATCGACCCCGAAAGCCTTAACCATTTTGTAAAAATCTTGTATTAAAGTGTGTTTTTCGAATTGTTTTATATCGATTACACTTGTTTATCTCATTTAAATAAAACCTCAAGTTATGGATTTAGAGATCAATGTACATTCATTGCCCTACAAAAAATTTCGTACAAAAACATTTCATCGATAGAAATATCATGTATTGTTTTTAAGAAACAACTTACTTATTCTAACGTAATGAAGTTAGGTACTCATCGGACTAATTTTTTTTATAAATAAATATTGTAATGACTAACATGAAATGCTGACATTAACAATAACAATTCAAAATATCAATGTGCTTATCAAACAAAAACTTTCTTGAAAAAAATGATAAAAAAATGCGAAGGAACTGTTTAGGCAGATTTAGGCAGATGGTTCATTTCAAATGATGAATTTCAGAATATATAATATATTATAGTTTTTGTTGAAATTTATATTCAACTGATATCCTGACAAAAAAAATGAAGCATTTATTGACTTCCAGTGCATTTTTTTTAAACACAAATCTAAATACTCTGGTCAACAAGCACCTTTTTCTTTGTCTCCAAAAAATAATAATGAGGTGTCATTCGATTCAGAATAGTGGGTAGATAATTTTTTAAAACATTCAGGTTCCGCTTGCGATAATTGCAAAAGTTATAACCAATTAAGTGTAAAGAAATTGGGTTTGGTTTCTTGCAAATATCTCAAAAACTATCTGGCATTTTCCAAATTTAAAAAAATATTCATATGGAGGAGGAAATTTCCCCGAATAGATTGCAGTTGAAAAAATGAAAGAATGTTATTTTCTGTACTTGATTTTGTTCAAGAACCATATACATGCTATTCCGAATCGAATGACATTTCGTTCATATTTTTTGAAGGCGGAGAAAAATCTTTGATTTGAAAGGTAGGTACTTGTTGCCAAGAATATAAATACACCTCCAAAAATAATCAAACAAGAGAATCGTGACTTGTGTTCTTCCCATCATCGGAATATGAAAACGGTAAAACACAGTAACTACCGGCATTTATTAGTTCAAAATCATCAAGTCAGTTAATTGAATGTGAACCATTTACACAGTTCTTCATCGAATCACGAACACGAAAGAATGATTTTTTCTTTCACTTTAATTGAGGGTTACCAACTGTTCCACCACACTGGTGGAACAGTATACTTTGTAATGTCACCTANACATCAACAAGCAACATCAAATCTGATGTTGCTTGTAATAGTTTGTTTCCCTCGAACCCAAACTTGAGATGTAGATTCTTATATACGATGAAACATACTCTCTGTGTTTCAATATTCAAATATAACCGAATATTATTCACTGGTATATCTTTTTCGCATTGTTCACCATTGCTTGTGGAATCACTACACAGGAAAAAGTCTGCGTTGTTATCACAATCGTTATTAATATTAGTACTTGTCCAAGGACGCCACATTTTAAACAGATAACAAAAATTAAGTAATTATAACTGCACCAACATCAACTTTCAACACTCAAATCGTGATCAGTTCCTGAACTGAACATTGAACACGACGGCTCGCATTCTATTCGTCATCGTAACATGACTTCAAATTTAATTTTATGGCTCTTTAGCCAATCATAAAACTCGGTTAGTAAAAATCATCCAATACGAACCGCCAATTCTTCAGTTCTTGTGGATTAGTTGGCAGCGGATTTATTTCTCTGAATTGTTTTTTTTTGGCCTTTGACAGCGCCGACACCTTGAGTATACACAATACCGGTTACTTCGACTATACTAACCCCATATCCAAATGGCCCAAATCCTCGTAAGTGGGCATACTTGAAGAATGACCTGAACGAATTGTTCAGTAAGATTATTATTTGATTCATAACCAGTCTTCAAGTATGCCTACTCACTATAGGCGACATTTATTTCTTCATACGAGGATTTGGGCAATTCGGATATGCAGTTAGCTAGCACCTCGTCTACGGGCAGATGTGACGATGACAGATATGTTGCTTGACATTCGCTTCGGCTTTGTTCGAGGTATGATACTTTCAAAGAAGTTGATTTTGAATTATGGGAAGTTATCGACTTCGTGTTGAAGTAGGACACTACCTTGCACTGACGAGAAGCCAAGTAGCACGAAACCGGTTTGCAAGTGTATCCGTTCCAATAATTGAAAATCGATTTCGGCATTTGTATCGCCAAAAGCATATGTAGGAATTTCTTTTATGAACAATTCTGCACTGACACCTGCCGCATATAATTCAACACTCTTTGTGGTATTAGTCAAGGAGTTGTTGTTTTCTGTTCATGTGTAGGTAAGGAAGACTGGTCTGAATAAATTGTTCATTAAGATGATTTATTTTGTAATAAGCACATTATATACAATAGAGAAGTTTCACGATATTGCTAATGACAGAATAACCAGTGGAAGGATTTGAAAAATAATCAATGAATGTACTGAGAAATAGATCGTTGAATTTGGCGTATTTTAGCGCAGATCGACTGGAAGATGACGTCATCTTTCTTTTTTAAGTTCCAACCAATGTAATGGATGGAATACGATACCAGCGTCACAAGTAACTGTGAAACTTAAAGTGGGTGCTAAGACAATTAAACATTAGGTTTGTTTTGGTTCTGTATTTCGAACTGTTATTGAACCGTCCCGTATCGACGACGAATCAATGCGCAGAACATTACAGTCACAGAACAGTTCTGGAACGGTCCCAACAAGTAAAAAACCAAAACATATAAAAAAATTATTCTGACAAGTGTATAAACAAAAATTGGAGGTTAGGTACCTCTACTTTGGTATAAAGATCATTGGAGTTTTGAGTTAAGTTTAAAGACAAGTTAATCAAATATTTAATTAAGGTGTAATGATGTTTTTGAAAAAATGAGAGTAACAGGAATTAACTAAGACGTTATCTCCGGTTATCCAAAATTAAATTGAAAATATACATGCCAAGAATAAATTTTTGGAATTGTAAAAGATGTGATAATAATAATGATTATTATTATTGCTACATATATTTCACGTCTATCTGTTATGGTATAAGAATAATGTTGATATAGAAATTTGTCTTATTTACAGGTCGCAATGAACTCTCCGAGTTTTTTTGTTTTACCGAAGACAGTATTGTAGATAAAATACCAAATGGAACACCAACTAAAATACATATAAAAATGAGATTAAGAAAACGTTACTACCAAAATCCACAACGCAAATGAAAAATATTATTAGTGCGCAAGAGCAAATTCGAAGTTCTAAACGGTCCCTACTCAAATGTACGAACTAATAATTACCGTTTGGGATTAGTTCCGAATCGGTTCGGAGAAAACCAGAACACTTTGTGAACGATACCAGAACGACTCTAACTGAACCAAAACACATTTTAATAATTGCGCATGATCGAACTGTACAGAATTGTGAACCAAAACAAACCTAATGTGAACATCTTCGCCTGAGTTAGATGACGTCACACGCCGGATTATCCTTGTAGGCGCAATTTCAACTGCTTACAACTTTCTCGTATTTTGACAAATCGTTCACAATTTTGTTCTATTTTACCAAAATTGATAGCATTACTCTATGTTGCAAAAATGTAAAGTTCTCCATTATTGTATCTCGAGAAAAAATTCAAGAATTCGTTATATCAGGTTGAAAATTAAATCAGCCTATTCAAATAATGTTAAGCGTCGTGTGGTGTGTGTGTAATTTATACCGTCCTGAATAACCCTTTTTCCACTTAAGAATAAACGGATTTTTTTAGCAAATCTACTAACATAGGTACTGATATTTGTACCCTTACGAATTAACATGAAAAATGTTTTATAAGAAAAGAC